ATGATTCTTGGATGCATTCTCGAGTTGTATTGAGGGTGAAAAGCAGAGTAAAGGCGCACATAGCAAGTAGCACAATGACGAGGATACTGATAAGTTGATGCCTGCCCGCTGAGCTTCGTCGACGCCTCGTTAGCGAGGTCATTCTGCCGAAACTACCAATGGGCCTCCTCGTGCTCGACCTTACGATATTTGTCGTCGTCGAGCCGCTGCGGCCGTAATTCACCTACGAGCCAAATGCTTAAGGCTTAGCCTCCTCTCGTCGTAAATCAATTATCCATGAGATAATTAAATTTTAAACTAAATTATTAATTTACAATTTATAAATTCACAAAATTTTCGTGTTAAAGTAGCATTAAAATATTGCGATAATATATAAGTTATGGACCGACAAACGTCTTTAACTAAACCGATTTGGACGCTACGTAAAACTTGCAACTTTAGAAAAGAAAATTTTGAACTTCTTGTAAATCCTTCATTTTAACGGCAAATAATGATAAAAAAAGATAGTTTAACGGTAAGGTTTATATTTTCAAACGGAATGGCTCACTTTAATCGTTGATCGATATATCGATTAGTTTATTATATAATTTTATTCTGAACAAGTGAATACATTTCAAAAAATTAATAAAACATATTTTGTTTCGTTTAAAAATATTTTTAACGCTTTAAATATACAAAGACACTTTTTTCATGGTTTTTATTTTATATTTAATATTATGTAGTGAAAAAAGAAATTTAACTACAGAAATTGCAACTAAAAGTGTAGCCGCATATTTAACAATTATTTGTTAATACAACATTTGTCATATTATATCCACGTTATGATGCTAAATAAATAAGTTGTAGAAAGAGATAGTGGCTTAAAAGTAAATACATTGATTTATATATATAATTGAATCTTTGCAATTTCTTTTAATGCACATGCATGACCGATGAAATACAGTTGAGCTGCCAACTTATAAAAACATCTAAGATATCTAAAAGATTTTATCTTTAGGGGGATATGGATGGCAATGAAAATAATATTAATTGCTATTGTAAGGGCTTTAATGGAGATAGAACTCATAGACTTTAACTAGAAGTAGAAGTTTAATATACGAGATCCATAAGAGTAAAATGAACATTCTATTAAAAAAAAAAAAAAAGATAAATATATACCATAGTCAACTAATAGGCAGAAATTATTTAAGATTGGAGTATGATTGGGACTGGGGGAGGTGCTTATGATAAGTTTTTTTTTTTTTCAATATTAAGTCGAGATGAAAATTGAGGAAAAAAAAACACATAATTTATCGGCACTGAAATATAACGTATTTTACATAATAAATAAACTATAGCATTATTTTATAAATCAAATTATAAATAATATTTTAATGCGCATATAAATGTCTTAGTATTAATATCAACTTTACAATTCAAAATCCATTTACGAAATATACACATTGACTGCCCTTAATGTTCATATTACATCGTAATAAACATCTTAACAAAAGGAATAAAATTAAAATGTTTATTGTTAAATACATATATTTACCTTTTATAAAAATCCTTTATAAAATGCAAATCAAAAATATCACTGAGTGCAATATTTTTTAATAATCTATCGATAGATCAAGATAGTTAGAGACGGACCACTTGGATTGTTGATATAACAGAAATTAGGAAATAACATGGAATATTTCATACCAATAATTCATAGATATATAAAACTATAATTTTATTTAAAAAAAAAAAAAAAAAAAAAAAAAAAAAAAAAAAAAAAAAAAAAAACAAACAAACATCCAATGACAAAGCACACCAGTACATATCGACGAATATTTATATTATTAAAAAAAAAAAAAAATACTGACAAATGCACCACTAGCAAAATAATGAATAAGATATGTTTTCTTTATTTTAAAGATACTTTATTGAGAGATGAGTAATGCGAGCATACAACGACGTATCTTGTGACAGAAAGGTCAAAAACGATAAAATCTTATGGTCCGCATATAAAATTAAGTCTCCGTACTCCCTCACATTGTTGTGTAATGCGGAAACGGCGGACTGTTACAATGTTACTTGGGAGTCCAGTAAGTCAACGTGGGGTGAGAGTCGTCAACAGCTTTCTAGACAAATATTATGTAGTGCTTGCTTATCCCTTGAATTCCTCAACTTTATCAATGAAAATAATTATCTAGTAAATCATTGAGAGTTAATAATGCTTAATCCATATTAATAATTATTGAATAGTCGGAAAATATTTTCTTTTCTTTTTACTTTCAAATAATTTATGTTGTTGTTGCTACAATTACTTTCTTACCACTCTTTAACTATAATTATACGTTAATGATAATTTATTTATTCTTATAATGTCAATTTACAACGAGCAAATTGAAATGTTACACACACACACACACACACACACACACACACACACACACACACACACACATCGAAGCGAAAATTGAATAATAATGAATTATATTATTCGACATTAAATAAGATTTAAATATAATTAAATATCATAAAAAATTTTATCCGAGATAATAAAAATTACGCTAGTAAACCTTATATGGTAGAATTGGTATCTTAAGAGAAAATCTTCAGTATTGTTAAAACGCATCAATCAAAACTAAAACTGAAATGATGGTAATCAATAGAATACTTAAAAATAAAATACTACGCATTTGTAATGGGTAAAACAACATATTTATAAGCAGTAATCGATATAAATTAACTGCTGTGGTATTAAAAACTTTAATGAAGCAATTACCATTAGATACCTTTTGTTTATAAGAAGATTTAATAGCGATGATCCAGTATAAAGTTTTATACGCATTAAATTATTGTAAAAGATATTATAATGTATTGATGAATAATTTATTTTATCGAAATATTTCTAGTTTGTGGAACAAAAGCAATGCAATTGATCTTAGCAGAATAGTCGTTAGCAGCAGCAACGTTTAGTAACATATGGAAGCGACCACTATTATAATTAAAATCGACTATCGGAATTCGATTTATATAAATACGAATTACTAGATTGGAATCCCATAATTCAAATGGAAAACAATTAAGTAAATTCTATATAAAAAAAATCAAATCTTTAGACAATTATATAATAAGATTGTGTTGTCAACCTGATTAGTTTTAATCCTGTGAACATGCAAATCGTAAAGATAATTTTCGAATGCGAATGAATGACCATAAATTGTCTCGAACAGATATAAAAAGATATAAACAAATAAATAATTTGTGTTATAATTTATATTAATGCGCATGTATCTCTTATGAATATATATTTAAAATGTCGCAGCTATACATATTAAAAAATATTTTCTAAATGTTTATACACACATGTGAATAGTATATATATATATATATATATATATATGATGTAGTTTAGAGACATTAGTTACACGTATTTAATAATAGTTTCATTACACAAAATTTTAAAATAATTTAAAAAGACGCAGTTGTAAAATGGATTAACGAATTACTTTTATATTAAATAGTTGAGACAATTGTACATTTTCTATGAGCATTTATAACAATAAAAAGCATCTATTAATCTCTAAGAATGTTTAATTAATAGTATTTTATATCTTGATAAGACAAAGATTTTGTATTAAATTTAAATTTCGTGCTTGAAAAGTAATTCTCATTTGTTTAATTGAAGTATCTTACTTTTACTTTAAATTGTTAAATGTTTGTTATCATTTGTAAATGGAGAAAATATATTTAAAGTTCGTAAATTCATTTGCCATTTAAATAATTAAAAAATATAAATATAATTTATAAATCCTTTAAGATCTTAATTTGCAGCTATTGTCTATTTATTTATACGAACAGTACAAAAATAACAAAATTCGAAGTAATATTTATAAAAGAAACAAGAGTATTTACAAGCTAAACATGACTAAAGCAATGGTTGAATGAGAGTGAAGATAAATTAGATTTGTATTTGGAACCTGGAACCACCAACTTATAAAAGATATATAAAAATTAATTCAAATTTTGATAAAAGAGAAGGAATATATATATATATATATATATATATATATATATATATTCTCGAAGTTTCGTGGAGAAAATTAAAAACTATTAATTGGAATGGAAATATTGACTTATTCCTTAATAGTTGTCGAATAAATAGCAGGAAATCTATGTACTAAAGACGAAAGTGACGTGGCCCTAAGTATATTTTACGTTAATTCCTTTAATTCACAATCTTGTGAAGAAAATATAAAGAATATACATGTACTTTAACACGCAAAGAAGCTGTTATTTTTGTTAATATAGTTTTACGATATAATTCTCGGAATAATTAAATCATTAATGCAAAGAAAAATATTCACTGTTCGTATATATTAAAAGTTTATTAAAACAAATAAAAAAAAATCTATCAAGATGGTAGTAATGTAATAATAATGTAATGTTCTTTTATTTATTGTAATAAAGTTGTTTCATATTATTATAGCGTTTTTTACTTATAGCGTAAAAAAAATTCCTTTCTAAATAATTGTGCGAAAATTAAAATCTTAAATTACTTAAAAACTTAATCTTTATGGTATTTACTTTATTGAGAATCGATACATAAATTATTGATCGTAAAAAACCAAATGGCTATACACGTGCTCCTTGTTTGTTTTGTAAAACGGCCAATTAAAGATAATGTTACGATGAAATAAATGTCCCTCGTGGCATTAATGTCGCCTGATTGCAATGTTATAAACTATCTGCATACCAGACGCGATACAGTCGTCGATGTCAAATCGGAAGAAAATAGAAAACAAGCATGGAACATGGAGTCTAGAAATGTATTTTTTTTTTCCCATTTGTTATTGTTCGCGTATTGAGTGGTCACGAATTGAAAAGGGGATGAAGAGTTTTATAAAGATAACGGGTGGGAGTGAGAGAGAGAGAGAGAGAGAGAGAGAGAGAGAGAGAGAATGGAACGGGGGAGGACGGATGTATGAGGCAGTTGATGTGTAAGCCGATAGTCGGAGGAAGTGTGTCAAGGATAGTGCGAGAATGGTCGCATTGTAATAAGGATCCAATAGCGCCGAACGTTGCCGAGGCGGAGCATTTAAGTAGAATAAGCGCAAGTCGAGTCATACCTGTAGCGAGGCCGGCGGAAGTTCGGCTCCGTCGATCGTCGTCGGGCTCTCGCTTTGCTCGCCGACGATCGACGACCTGAGGAATCCGTTGTTGGCCTCCATCCTCCCGAGCAT